TACACTCCTGTCTGTGAATACACACTCCTGTCTGTGAATACACACTCTTGTACGTGAATATACACTCCTGCCTGTGAATACACCCTCCTGTCTTTGAATATACACTCCTGTCTGTGAATACACACTCCTGTCTGTGAACATACACTCCTACCTGTGAATACACACTCCTGTCTGTGTCCAATTCCCAGCTTGACGTCATCCTCCTGTGCTCGCGTGTTTCCGTGACTCATTTGTTAGTTAAAGGTTGTTTTATTTTACAGTTGCATGGCCCAAATGTGAAAGATATAAATTCAATTCAGTTCAGTTCAATGTATTTATATAGCACCAAGTCACAACAGAATTCACCTCAGGGCACTGAACAAAAACATTCATATGTAAAAATAAGTTAACAGAAATACATAACAGTCCTTATGTTACCCCTTAAGAGCACTTGGGATTTTAAAGATCGGTGATGGACTCTTTTCAACAAACGGACAGTTGTGTTATCATTGCCATAATTTTAAGATCCCCAAAATTGACATCATTTGAAGGTGAGCATCTGAATAATCTTGTGTTCCATACAACAAAATTAAATAGGCTTCGTGTGGAACAATAACAGATTTATTTATCAAAATTCAAATAAAGTCAGATGAGTGTAGATTTTTTAAATTAATTTTCAAACCTTCACAAATGTTCAAGATGACATGACATACATCGGATCTGGAGTCCAGCTCCTTTCAAACACACTGAAAGGGTGACCTGTCTTGAATTGAAATTTTTGTGCCATGGTCATCTGCTTTCCAGTCTTTTCTTCTTGATCCTTCTAGAAAAAGCACAGTGCACACTCTTCTGTTTGAGCATTTTCTGAAACACAAGATGAGAAAAAGTCTGAACCCTGAGCTAAATTTGTTGGCGGCCTTTGAAATGTGATGTCATAGAAGCAGGAACTCTCTGAGTGGACAGTTTAGGTGTCGTCATCCTGCATTATCCAATCAGGTGTCACCTATCAGGTCAGCCAGCTTCCTGTTTTTGGTGTCCAGTGGGTCCAAAAGGTCTTGAGGAGGAACTGATCAGCTGGTAAAACTTATTTTTGGTGATGAAGAGAAAGACCACAGATCTGCTTCAGGATCATCTGATGAGGATTCCTTTCTTCACAGTTTGAGATGCGGCTGGAATTAAACCTGGATCAGAACCAGCAGACCAGCTGGATCCTTCTAGAACCTCCCACTGACACTGATTCTGATTATTTTAACCAGTCCAGTTTGCTTCCTTGGTCTCTGTTGTCTTCCTCTGTCTGATCCGGATTAGCCTACTCTGGTCTCTAATCAGCTCAGAACTGGTGCTACTTTGTGTTGGAGATGTGGGTCAAATCGGAGCTGTGATCCTCATCAAGTTTTCTGCTGAGACAGACGGCAGTTTGATGTCCCATCTACAGATGTAGACCTTAAACATCTCGCTGACAAAAGAACCAGCTCGGAGTCAAAGTTCCTGCTATTTGTGTGCTTGTGCAGGAAGATGCTGACCAAGGACAAAAAGCCTGATGAGAAGGACACCCAAAAAGAGGCAACAGAGGTTATCCCTCCACGACCCGACACCCCCAAACTGTTCAAGGCTGCTCTGAAGGTGACGGAGCAGGCGGGCATCGAAGGAACGTTCTCCAAGTTGAAGAAGGTCTACAGACCACCTGAGAGCTCTGCAGAGGTACGATGAGCTCAGCTGTAAAGAAGGTGTGGGGAGGGGGGCATTAGTCCTCACTTGTTTCTCAGCTCCTCCTGCTCTTCTTTGTATCCTCTGTTAGTCTCTTGTTATCATTTTTCTTCCAAGAAGATAAATCTTGTTATACTGTAATGAAACCCTTTGATCTTTATTACTGTTCTCAGGCTCCTCCCACAATTTCTCCAGTCCCGCCTCCTTCTCCGATGCACCGGCGCTATCCAGCCCCTCCAAATTCAGCACTGGAGGATGAAGACGAGTCTGTAGCTGAGACGGCGGACAGCTCTGTCATCATCAGGATGACGCCACAGAAAGGAGAGGAGCTTCTCACCGTGGAGGTGCTAGCAGCTGAAGAGGAGGCAAAGGAGAAGATGGAGGACGAGAAAGAGGAGAAATGAGCTGACTTTGTCCTGTTCTGTCTTTGGTTGATGCCTTTATCTCCATCATTTGTGCTCAGGTGGATGGTGGGACCGGTGAGGTACCATCAGACTGAGACTGAGCTGATCAGCTTTTAGAAACTAGTTTATTAGAAATAAAAAAGAATAAACGTGACAGATGATTCTTCAATGTTCTTATGTTTAAGATGTAAAAAAAACAACAACCTCAAACTGAACCTCCACAGGCTTTCCTCATCACTTTACAGATTATTCAAAATCATTCTAACAATTTATATATTATTCAAGATCTTTCAAAATTATTTAGAATGAACTCCAAACTGTTTTCAGTATTTTTATATAACTTCCAACCAGTTTAAAAAATTTCAGGATGTTTTCTAACTAGTTCCCACATTTGTCAGGATTATTTTGAATTTGCAGATTATTTCATATCATCTTTAACTAGTGTCAGGATTATGCAACATGACCACAGATGTTCAAGCTATTCTGGATCAGTTCTAACAGGAGTGCAGGTTTATGGATGATTATTGACTTTTTAATTATTATCTTTAACAAATATCCAGATTTTTTTTTTTTATAAATCCTAACCAGTTTCCAGATTATAACAAGGATTTTTTTCTTGTTTCTAGATTTTTATGATCAATATTTTTGTAGTATATCCAGGACTTTTTCTAACCAGTTTCCAGATTTTGAGTATTATTTGTAAATTGTTTCCACATTTTTAATAATAAGGGCGGCTGTGGCTGAGTGGTTAGAGCAGTCGTCCTCCAGTGCAAGAGTTGGGGGTTCGACTCCAGCAGCAGTCACATGTCGAAGTGTCTCAGGGCAAGACACTGAACCCCTTGATGCCTCTGATGTGTGTCCCATTGGTGTATAAATGTGATAAAGCTCTGATTAGTCTTTTTAGAATGATTTGTTCAATTAGCTTTGTATAGATCTAGTAGTGTTCAAAAAACATTCAATACAAAAACAACTGGACTTTATTTGTAACAGAAGACGTTTCGCTCCTCATCCGAGGAGCTTTCTCAGTTCAGTAAGCAGTAAGTGAGAGATTCAGGTTATAAGGCTGAGTGAGATATGGCACACACACATATGCAGATTTGACAAGTCACACCTCAACACCTTAACAGTAGGGCTTTCTTAAGGTATTTGCTACTCTAATTCACAGATGAGACCCCTCTGTTCCCATCAAGTGTGAAAACCGGCTGGGAATCTGACTTAAAGTTGCATTATAGGTTTTTGAAAGGAACAACAACTTGACAGAAGCAGAACAACTTCGAATGAAAATATCAGCAACCCTCTCCAGTGCCAAACTGCCTCCTTCAAACCTCACACCACAGGAAAGGAAAGCTGTAACATCAAGGCCGGATTAACCATACGAGCAACTGGGCAACTGCCAAGGGGCCTACGATCTCTAAAGCCTGGTATCCACAGGTCTGGTTCTTGTTGTAGCCTGTTGTGTCCGGTTCTGGTGGGACCTCTATTTTTCTGTCTCCACATTGCCTATAGTTCCCGTTTAGTGGACGGATTGTTCACCTCTAGTGGGCGGATTATTAATATCAACGCACCTTACCAGCTGGTGGCGGTAGTGCTACATTAAGCTCTTTTCTAAGCACCACTAACATGTATTAGAAGAAGAAGAGCTGGAAAACAACACACAACCAAAATGGATGACCTCGATGAACTTGAAGCAGAACCAGCCGCACAGCCCGTCCTGGTC